GTGTTGTCATGGTCTGGCTGGCAAATTTGTCTGTTGACACTTGAAAGGGCCTATAGTTCCTCGGAATGACTTGGGTGTGCCTCATTCGCGGAGGCAGACACCGAGTGATTTTTCAGCTCATAAACCTCTCATCAGCCGTGGCAGACACAACCAGTATGTTCCTCAGAAAGTCCGAGTAAAGGACTCATTTCAACATGTTAAAGAAGCTTGTGACTTAGATAAATAAACCATGCTTTGAGAAAGCAAGGACTCTCCTGGAAAGAAAAAGGTTACCCACCACTGACTTGGTTTATAGGGTTCAATTTTCCTCTCCAGGTAGAGATCTGCACGAAAAGCTTTTCTACAACAGTCACAAGACAAACGATGATCTGTATTGCTCAAAATATTTTGCAACTGCTTCAGACCTTCCTGTTTCAAGACCTTCACACGCACATTTGGCAAATGTTTGTGAAAGTGAAATAAGGTTTTGTAAGAGATAAAAGCGACTAAAAACAAAGGCAGGCCAGGCTGGAGAATACAATATTCAGGATCCAAAATGCTAGAAGCCCCTCCTCCAGTCCATCCAATGTCCAAGGGAAAGAGGCCAAGGAAGCTCCTCAGCCAGTGTCTCCCTAGGCCATGGGTCTGCCTGCAGCTGTAGCAGGAGGCCCTGGGACCCCAGAGACCAGCAATGAGCAGCCAGCTGTCAGCCTGTCCTCTGGGCAGTGATGGAGTTGGAGCTACGAAAGGAGCTTTCAGAGACCCCAATCTTGGCCACCTCAACACAACTTTTCTTAGGTGGCTCACAGTTCCCATGGACAATTTACAAATAGAAGGTGGAAAGAAAGAGCAGGGCCACCCACTTACACTCAGAATAGAACCTTCTAAAATGACTCCTGTGAAGGACACACATTATTAGCTATAATCTGGTGTATCCGCTTGCTCTCTGTTTTAGATCCTCTCAGCAATTTATAGTCACAGACATTCCTATGACCAGTGGCCGCCTTGGCCACCTCTGGGGATGTAAGACTGTAAAGAAACAACCCCCTGGCCCCGACCAGCCCCAAACTCAGCTCCAGGCCCCCTCCAAGCCACTTGCACAGGAAAGGCCGACTCACAGTTGCTTCCCTGGGTTCAGCGAGCCCATGTCAATCTCCTGGTCAAACTCAGTGCGAATGTCGTTGAGCGAGCCATCGTCCCCGAAGGCCCCCCACTCCATATTGATACACATCCGCCCCTCGTCACCTTCCACCATGTCGATGTGGCGCATCTCTTCCATGTAGCAGGCGTTGCTGCCCGTGCCTGTCAAAACAAGGGATGGCTATGCACACACCTGCTCCAGCCCCTTCCCATCCCTCTTCCCTCTTACACTACTGTCCCGAGATTGCCCGGCCAGGGTGGCTGGGATTTCTCACTGCAGACTCTGGGGGCATCACAATACATGGTCTAATCTTCTGCCACCCACAACTCCACGAGTCCCTGTTCAGCTCTCCAAAGTGATTGGACCATTATCTTCTAATATGAACCAAAGAAACAACCAACTCATGGGCCCCTTCTCCCTTTCCGGCCCACACCCCCATCTCTTGGCCAGCACGGGCCCTCATGCCCAGTATTCACTCACCCACAATGAGACCAATCTCACAGTTGTGGTCATCATAACCACAGGTCATCATGGTCCCAACTGTGTCATTCACCACAGCCACAATGTCGATATCAAAGTCCTGTGGAGATAAAAGGGAGGGCTCTGACCTTCATAATCACAGAGGGCAACTTTCCTAACACCAGCTGTACATCACTCCTCCTCTTCCACCTCCTCCTTCTCTCCCTCTCCCTCTCACTCTCTCTTTCCCCTTCCCTCCCCAGAACTCCTCCTGTAATAAGACTTTTAACTGATTCTCTCTCTGCACCATTCCACTCCCATGTCAACATCATTCCAACTTTCTTACTTAGAAGTGATATTCAAGTCTTCTTCAGGTTAAGAACTAAAGAGTTTTTCTTGTGCCAAGGCTAAGATTATTTATCCATTGCAATAATCTAAAAACCCCCAAAGCAGCGGATCATATGCAAAATTATTGAGTACTTGTGTCAGGGAAACGAGAACCTCTCCTTAAGCTCCACAAAAGCAGATCATGATGAGTCAAGGACATTCAAGGAGTCTTCAGGGTGGACCCAGAAAAGCCCACAGACCCCAAGCTCCTGCCACCCTACTCACCCCTCTCCGCTGGATGGCCTTCCGGATCAAAGTCACAACGTCTCTGCCTTCCACTCCACTGGACTTGAATCCCTTGGTCCATGAGACCAGGAAACTCTGGAAAAGGACCAAGGAGTGAATACTGATTTCCCACTAAAACTGAAACTCACACCATAGCCCTCAAACCTGCGTCACTGGCAGAGACCTCTGCCACTGGGGTAAAGTCGTGGTTGAATATTTGTATTACTTCCTGGCTAGCCTAGGAAAAAGAAACTCAGGACAACCGTCACTATAAGACACAGTCACGTGCCCCATAACTATGTTTCAGTCAATGACCGATTGTGTATACTGTGGTGGTAACAAGATTATAATAGAGCTCGATAGTTACTATTGCCTAGTTTAGATACACAGATATCACTGTGTCACAACTGCCTATAGCATTCAGTACAGTAGCATGCTATACAGATTTGTGGCCTAGGAGTAACAGGCTGTCCCATACAGCCTAGGTGTGTAGTAGTAGTCTGTACCGTCTCGGTTTGTGTAAGTGCACTCTATGATGTTTACACATAAGTGAAATCACCTAATAAAGCATTTCTCAGCACATATCCCCATTGTTAAGCAATACATGACTGTACTAGTTTCCTTACATCAGTAACTCTCCAAGCATCTTTCTTCCGAGGGTCTTTATCACAACACTTTAAACTGAGGAGTTCCTGAGTTCTCACTGTGGATGGGATAAGGATACTGTGCAATGTGTGTGGGAGACAGAGTGATAAAGAGCACTCCCAACCCCCTAAATATTTCTTCACCAGCCCCCACACTGACATACACAGTCACCCAGAAAGGCAGAACTTCATCTCCACAATCCTCCAGTGCTACCACCACCACCACAGCAGGTGGCTCAGAAGTCCCTCTCGGCCCTCCCAGCCCCAAGAGTGAAGCAACGAAAGTGTCCGAAGAGCCCATCTTACCTCGTCTAGTTTAGTCTGGTGGCAGGGGAACGAGAAGGTAAAACCCAATGGGAGCTTCTTGTCTTTGATTTGTAGCTTATCCATGAAGTTAGCCAGGCATTCGGCAATGTGGTCAAACAGCTAAGGACACATGACAGGGTGGTAAGCAGAGAGGTCGAACAGCATAGAGATTAAGGGCATGCTCTTCTGGCTCAGCACATAACTAGCTGAATGTGTGCAAAACCCATTATCTTCTCTGATATCTTCATTTGCTCATCTACAAAAAGGGAATTATAACTGGACCTGTCCTCATGGAGTTATGAAAAGGAGTACGTGAGTCAATACATATAAAGGCTTAACATTAGTTTTTGCCCACTAAATATTGTCCTCTACTTAAGCCATTTATCTAAACTGCTGTCAAGATAACCCTGTGAGGTAGGGGAAATCATGGCCAACATTAATCAGAAAGTCACTGCATGCCTGGGGAACAGAACATTCTTTAGTGGCCCTGTCAGAAACCCATTGACATGGATGCCCAGTTGACAACCATACCAGAAAGGCCAGCCTATCTTGCTGCCAAGAAGTATTTTAGTATCCCTGTCTCTGGTGATGGGGTGGGGGGTGGTTTGCGGGGACAACATTGTCTGTTGGCATTCTATGAACCAACTTAACAAAAACAAGCAATTTTTACATTTTCTTCTCCATTCTAGAAAACTAATCTGAGGGCAATTCAAAGAAGTTATCTTTGTTTTCTAACTTTCTAAACAGAACATCCAGTAAGTTCATGAAGAGCGCTGAGAAATAAATAGCGTTTTGTGGGTGAGCAGCCTCACAACCATGACCACATACACTCACTGTGCAGGACCCAGAGCTCCTAAGCCTTAGAAAAGCAGTATTCACAATAAACCAGGCTTTCAATCAGCTCCAAAGCCCACACTCTCCTGACTTCCTTCTTGCCCCCTCTACACCCTCAAAGAGAAGCTGCTGACCCCTCTAGGTGTTTGAGGGCTGAGACCAGAGGCATTCTGGTGTAAAAAGTAAGCATAGGCCAAAGAGGCTGGGCAGATTCCAAGGGCCAGGTTGACTACGTGGCAAAATCTAAAAGCCAAGGTGGGTAAGAGGACAGCTATCCTTTTCCTATCCAGGAAGTAAGAAGATTCGACTAAACCATGACTTTTCAAAGTGTGCTCCTGGAGCAGCAACCTCAGCCCCATCACCTGGGAACATGTTAGAAATGCACATTCTAGGATCTAAGGCCCATCCTAGACCGGCTGTCGCAGAAATTCTGGGGGCAGGACCCACTCATCTGTTAGCAAGGCTTCCATCCTCCAGGTGATCCTGGAACAGTAGTTTGAGACCCACTATGCCAAACCACAGAAAGTATTTACATTTATAAAGGAACTGAGAGGTTGGGAGAGGGAAGCTGACAGACCTGTTGGCTCTCCTGATGCCTAGGGTATGGTCAGCAGGAGGGACCCAGGAAGACAAGGCCACCACAATCTGGAAGATGGCCAGATCTAACTAAACTTCCCGCATCCATTCTGTCTGTCCCTCTGTCTGATCCCATGCAAAGTTAACAACAGCTGAGGCTGAACCTTCAACCTCCAAACCAAAACATTTTCAAGAGCAAAGGCTGGGGAGGACAAGGCTCTCTTGCCATGGGGATCACCAGTGCAGGTGAGCCAACTCCCTTGAACAGAGTTCAAGTATTTTAACATGAAAATAGGGAAATATTCAGCAAATTCTGTTCTGTCGGGAAGGTGACTGGAGTTGAATTATATGGTACGTATATTAAACAAATTTCCAGCACCTTCTTCCTGGTACTCTAGTCAAAATGATCTTTAGTACAAATAGTTTTTATCCAAAAAAAAAAAAGAGAGAGAGAGAGTTGCAGAAGTTGTGCAAAGAGAGGGGGTTAGAAGGGGGAAAAGCAAAAGGGTTTCTCCTCCCCCAGCTCTGATCACTGCTTTCTTTCCAATTGCGCTCCTAACATAGGAAGGTAGAGAAAAATAGGCCGTAAAGAAGCATTAAATACTGCTCTGCCCAATACAGTAGCCACTGGCCTTCTGTGGCTATGTCAATTAATTAGAATTTTTAAAACAGGCCGGTGCAGTGTCTCCTGCCTATAATCCCAGCACTTTGGGAGGCCAAGGCGGGTGGATCACTTGAGGTCAGAAGTTCAAAGCCAACATGGTGATTCAAAAAATTAGCTGTCTCTACTAAAAATTCAAAAAATTAGCCGGGCCTGGTGGTGCACACCTGTAGTTCCAGCTACTCGGGAGGCTGAGGAAGGAGAATCGCTTGAACCTGGGGGGTGGAAGTTGCAGTGAGCCAGGATGGTGCCACTGCACTCCAGCTTGGGTGACAGAGTGAGACTGTCTCAAAAAAAGAAAAGACCTTAAAAATTCAGTTCCTCAGTCACACCAGCCACACTTCAAGGGCTCGATGTCACAGGGTCAGTGCCCATCACATTGCACAGGGAAGGCAGGAGACAGTTCCATTGCTGCAAGCAGTTCCACTGGCTAGTGCTGGGTTCAAAGAACCTACATCTTTTCTCAGGTGAGAAGAGGAGACCTTCTGCTTCCTTGAATTGAAAGATTATCTCGTCCTCTTTGAGGAGGATCTAAGGGTGAGATGCAGAGAAAGAGTTAACACCTTCCTGTCATAAAAAGGCTCAAAGGGCATCATTTTATGAAGTTAAAATGGTTTCCTTTTCCTTACTGGTCTGAAAACCTGCTCACTTCCCTTTCCACAAGATATACTTTTAAAATCTTAAGTGGCTGATAGTCAGGTTTGCAATCCACTGATCTTCAGGAGAAGTTAATGTGCCGGACGACAGAGTTTACCCAGGGACCCCCATTGCCCAGGTTCACAATTCTTCAAAAACCTTTGCAAGTTTGGGATTTCAACATTTGTTCTTGGTTTCAACTAAATTGTATTTTTACAATCCATTTGTTTTCCTTTAAGTAAAATACTGATACCGAATACCAAAAAAGGGGGGGAAATATGGGGAAAATATAGCAGCAGTAATTCCATCACTAAAATAGCCACAATGAACTTCCTTTCAGCCTTTTTTCCAAGTGTTTTCTGCTGCTTTTAGGTACATAGTAGTCTTTCTATTCCTTAGGGTCAAAGATACCTATATTTTCTTCTAGTTTTCTTTCTGTTTCATTTTTAGATAGCATTTTTTCCACTTACTCAAAATCTTTCTAATATCCCAGCAGTTTTAATGTTCTTCAAGGTGGGTCTCATAGTTGTTTTTTGTTTTTAATCTGGACTAAAATGTTTTGCTTATATATTGCATGGAGAGTAGATTTTCTTGATACCCTCTAACTAGATGGTCTGAGCAATTTTAAGGTTAAGTTTTTCAAGAAAAACTTCACTCGCATCTTGAATGTTTAAAATGGATTCTTTTTCTCAATTGGCAGAGATGCACTTCCTTGTCCTTGCCAGGCTCTAAGGATGGTACTGCAGGGACTGCAAGGTGCCTGGGGCCTGCACATTGTCAGGATACAAGCAACAGGGAGGGTGTTGTTCTTGTAAAACTTAAAAATCCACCTAACACATCACTGTCAAGCTACAAGTCTTTTACATAATCACAGCCAAACTTCAGATGTTATTTTGTTTGTTGGTTTTGTCTTATCTTGTTTCTTAAATATTTATCATCTGGGGGATGTGGCCCAAGGCAGGAGATTGAGGCAATGGGAAGAAAAGGCAACCATATCCCCCAACAGGGAACAATGCAATTACTAGCCACAGAGTGTGACAGCACAAGAAGCTATTAGATAAACAGACAAAAACCCCTGTGAAAAAACAGGGCACTAGATTATGCACCAGCACTAAGCAAATACTTAACAGGTATCATCTCCTCTAATCTATACCCCAATCCGTATACTATCATCCCTTTTTACAGATGAATAAACTGAGGCTCTGCCAAGCTCTATCACCTGCCCAGAATCACATAGCTTGAGTGCCTGAATACAGGGCCCAACCTCTTTACTACCTCAGCTTGGTGCAGGCATAGGAGAGGCAGTGGAAGGGCCTCTACCCTTTGTGTCCCTCCTGATGTTATACTGGAGACACGTGACAACTTCGGTAAAGCTCAAATGCCCACAGCCCTAGGGAAGCAGCCTCCCTTCTCCAATCCCAGCATGATAACGAGGAAAGCAGGTTTACCTCAAGGCCACCCCAAAGACAAAATGAGTCTAAAAATATCTCCCCCCGCGTGTTCTACTCATGGTCAGAAATTCCTTTCCCAGGAGGGAGCCTTGTGTGGGAGAGAGAACAGCAGACCAGGAGTCAGAGGGCTTGACCTCTTCCAAGTCCTGAGGCCCAAGATGTGACAACACTGAACAGCGCCTTGCTTGGATTTAATGCTGCTTCTCCAGTCACTCCTTTTAATACAAGTACATGTTGGGTATAAAATACAACCAGAACAGCCTGAGCTCGGGCCGAGAGGGAGCCCTTACAGCTGTGCTGGCATCCACAAGTGTCTTGGACGACTGCCTATGCAAACACTGGGAGCGGCTGGAGAAAGTGCAGAAAGAACATCCCAAGGAAGTTTTTGTCACCAGGGGCCGCCCTGAGACAAGGGTCATACCTGGGTGCCACTGCCTCGCATGATGTCCTCGGGGATGGCATAGATCTGGTTTTCCATCTCCACCTTCTGAAGCCCATTGTCCGTTACTTTCACCCAAAGCACACGGAAGTTGGTCCCTCCAAGGTCCAGAGCCAGGAACTCTCCGTGTTCTGCAGAGAAAGGAAGGGTCACTATTAATTTTGGGCAAAACTCTTCCAGGAACCACCAAGACTTAAAACTCCAAGTCCCTCCAGGAATATCTGTGAGTAAGGGGTGGCCAGTGGGATTCACTTATCTCTACAGACATTACATATAGTCTAATTTCATGCCATATACCTTTACATTATTGTTATTTTTTTAATTGTCAAGAGCTTTATTAAAACCAGAAACTCACGGGGTAGTTTTTTTTAAACCCCTCACCCCCTTACCATCCTTTCCTCTGAATCTCCAAAATCCATTGTATTATTCTTATGCCTTTGCATCCTCATAGCTTAGTTCCCAATTATGAGTGAGAACATATGATGTTTGGTTTTCCATTTCTGAGTTACTTCACTTAGAATAACGGTCTCCAATCCTATCCAGGTTGCTACGAATGCCATTAATTTGTTCCTTTTTATGGCTGAGTAGTATTCCATCACATATACATTACTTTTATAATTCAATCAACAATAAGACAGTTACATCCAACGATGTGCTCACCCCTCCTGAGAGCTGACTATCTCCTCAGTGCTTTCAGCAAGCCCCATGCCAGGGGTCCATGCTCCATCCTGTTCCTCCTACCCCCAGAACACCAAACTGCGATCACAGTATTAAATTTACTTTCTGATGTTTGTATATCATGTTTGCATATAATGTTTGCGTACTGCAATTGCAGTACTAAATTTACTTTCTAATGTTTGCAAATTATGAGGCCCATGTCCTGCAGCAAGATCAAAGGGGTCAAGTAATGGAGAGGAATGAGGTCCAATTCACTACAAACTAAGAGGCCTGGTGAATAAGCCAAGCAAGTGGCCCCTCAAAGGATCTCAGGCTTATTAGAATGCAAGAGAATGCTGACCCCAGAGCGTGTATGTACGACAACAGTCAGGTCACTCATGCCACAGAAAAGCTCTGAGAGAGCAGGAGAGAGGCCAAGTGAGACTCCAGAAAGGAGCCACAGACACAGATGGGTGAAGACTGTCATGCGTCACTGGGAAGGTGCAGTTCCTACCCTCCAGGAAACAGCAGTGTAGACAGGAAACATCCAGATCCTGGGTAATAATACCACCGACTCAGGGGAAGGGCCCCCTTGTGTGGCACAGAATGAAAGTGCTGAAGAGGCGCGGAGCCTGCAGCGGGACAGGGGCTGGTGGGGCGGGCAAGGCGCATCCCCAGGTGACTACCAACCGCGAGCAGCACCGCCAGTCTTCTGCTGCCCTGCCACGACCTTCTCAAAGGACACAAGGCAATTCATTTCCCCAGGGGTTCACTTATTGGCATGTTTGTCAACACTCAACCCCTTTCCCGGTGGGAGAACAGCAATGAAGTGAAGCGGAACAGGTCAGAGTTCAGGGAGAGGCTCTGACTCAGTAACCCAAGAATGTTTGTTTTATACCCAGCTCCACTCAGCACCTCCAGCACTTAGGCCCTGAGAGCATCACCCACAGTCCCCAGGGTCCCAAGGGGAAAAAGGGTAGATATCATCCACCAGAGACCACACAGGCAGAAGTGTGTCAGGCAGCGTGACACACGGAGACTGGCTCTGGATCTGGAGTCCAATCACCTGCTCCAGAACCCCGGCCACTTTCCAGCAGAGGCAAGTTCCTGAGCCTCTGAGCCTCAGCTGCCTCATCTCTAAAATGGGAACATCACATCTCATTGGGTTGCTGTGAGGGGAAAAATTAGACAAGTGTGGTGCGGGACCAAGAACTCAGGACATACTCACTAAGTACTAGGTACTCTCTCTCCGGGCTCTCGGCAAGCCCTGTCCCACAGCCTCACTTGAGTGTCCCAGGCCAACGACAGCAGAAGGGATTGCAGAAACCTGTCCAAGAAAAGTCACTGGAATCAGCTCCAGTGACTACAGCATTCCTCCTTAGGGGCACTACTTTTCCATTTCCTGCCCAGTGACTAGAGGTGGCCCCACCCCTAGCTACAGCTGCGGGCTAACTACAGCAACATCGCCCTCATCTGGGGTTAGCCTGCCTGCCTCATGGCCATGGTTGACTTTTCCAGACACTCCAGCTCTGAGCCTTCCCCGGTAGTGGGAACTCGGCCAAATTCTAGGAAACGCAATGTGGTGGCTGTCATGAGGGATGAAAGGGATATCAAAGATGAACTGCCTCATCAGCACTCTCAAGTCCAGGATACACGCGATCCGCTGAATCAGTGACCACAGGGGACTGAGGCGGCGAGGCTGCCCCGGTGGGTCGTCATCTGAGGCCAGCCCAGCTGGACTCACCAGAGGCCACCGGGTGGTGTGCAGGATTTTCTGATGGACTGAAGGAAAAGCACAAATAATAAAGTATTGCTGATAACCCTGTTCCCAGGAGGGAGGTCCTCTCTTGCTTTGCTTACAGGACTCCTCTGGAACACACATTCCCTGACACCCCTCCTCCCTGCGGCTCTCCTCCACACACACAGGAAGCCACAACCACCATAGCCAAGGACTGCATTCCTTCCAAGCCCGGAATGTGAGGCAGGCCTAGCACTGTGACTCGGCAGTCCTGAGATGGACCCTCTCCTAATGCCCACGCATGAGAGGCTCCCACAGAGCAGTGGTGAGGCACTGGACCTCAGACAGGTGGGCAGGCCTCGTTTTGAATTCCAGCTCAGCGGTTTCACTACCTGTGTGGTGTGGGCACATCACAGGGCTCTCTCACCTCACCTGTAGAACAGGATTCTACAGCGGTTGTGACGCTTACGTGAAACATGGACTATGTTGTATGTGAACATACAGAAACACACAGGCCGGATGCGGTGGCTCATGCTGGTAATCCCAGCACTTTGGGAGGCCAAGGCGGGCAGATTAGTTGAGGTCAGGAGTTTGAGACCAGCCTGGCCAACATGGTGAAACCCTGTCTCTACTAATACAAAAATTTGCCGGGCATCGTGGCATGGCCCTGTAATCCCAGCTACTCAGGAGGCTGAGGCAAGAGAATCACTTGAACTCAGGAGGTGGAGGTTGCAGTGAACTGAGATCTCGCCACTGTATCCCAGCCTGAGCGATAGAGCCAGCTTGTCTCAAAAGAAAAAAAAAAAAAAACCCAAAGAAGAAACACAGTAATTATTCCTCCGTTAATAGATCTTATCAAGGTACTTGTTCCCTTTCTCCCTGTCAAGGCCGTGGAGGTTTGTGGCATGCTCTGGTGTCCAGCAAGGCAGGACAGAGGTTTGGTATAACTACGATTGGCACTAATTTGTGGGTGCCAAAAAATGGCATGTCCAGAGTGTCTACAACATAGGGCTCACGTGACATGGCTATAAGCGCACAGCAAATACTATTGCCAAGGACTTTCTTTCATTCTTAAGAAGGTCAAGTCTGTTTCCAAAAGGGCTCTAGTGACTAACGGCACTGTGGAGGGCAGGGCTAGCAGCACAAGGGAGGCAGCTCAGGGGCTGCTGCCATAGTTGAGCTGAGCAGCAGTGAGGGCATGGGCTCCAGGGCCATGGAGGGTAGCCAACCATCCCAGTTTGCCCAGGATGGAGGGGTTTCCTATGACATGGGACTTTCAATGCCAAAACTGGGAGAGGCTCAGGAATCAGAATGCTGGACTGTATTTGATCCAACCATACAGCCTCCAGCTCTTCCTTGTCACTCAATGCCTGAGGCACACAGTCATAAACTTAGAGTGGGTCAAAGACACACACGCATACTTTCACATTCAGTTCCTGAACCAGTCCTGTATTTATAACTTAATGCCCCTAAAGGGACTTGCCCTTCCTGCCCTACAATAGCACTTCCAGTGGCCCCAGGTAACTGCACTGAACATTCCAATCATTCTCTATGGGGTGACTCTGGGTTGAGGGGATCTTGTTTTCTTCCTTTAGTTTTCAAGCACCTGCTAGCACACAACAGTGGACTGCTCTGAGAATGTATGGCATATACTCCAAATGAAACGAGGACCAAAAAGATACATCTCCAAGTCCTAAGCAGGTAATGAGGCAAGACACAAGGTCTCAAGGCACATATTTTCCATGTACCCAGAATCACCATGATCACTACCACACCTGGCAGCCTCTTTTTAACCCCCAGGATTCCAGTTACTCCATTACAATGCAATGCCGGCCACCATTCAAGAGCTCAGCCATACAGAAGTATTCAATACTCCGTGTCATTAAAGGCATTGAATCACAGTTAATGCTGGTGTCTGGTACAGACTAGGAATGGAGTGAGCTGATCTTCTACATCATTTGTTTTCAAACGCAACAGAATGCTTATTTCCAAATAAAATTGGTGGACCAAATACCACAACGTAAAATAGAGAAAAACAGAGCTGCTCCAACTGAAGGGAGAGGCGTGGAACATGTAAAACACATGACTAGCACCCCAAAGCTCCTAGGACACCTCTTGGAAAGCATCACTCTGGTGCTCTTTTTACCCAGGAAGTGTTTCTTAAGTTCAAAATAGGTGCCAGTCACAGAGAGGTGTAATTAGCCCCACAGATGTGAAACCACTCTTCAAAGGGTTAAAACACGATTACGTTTCAATATTGTGTAGGCTTTGAGCATGTTCAGCTTTTTAGGCAGGCAGACCTGGGGTCAAATCCCACTCTAACATGTATTAGCCACGTAGCTTTTGGCAATTTATTAGAAATCTGACACTCAGATTTCATCATCTGTTTTAAAAGGGTTATGATAACCTCCTTCTAGTCAGCACCTCCCTCCACAACCCAGAACGAGAACACAGGAAAACACACACATATACATGTACACATACACACACACACCTTGTCAAGATTCAGTGCAAGGAAGTGGAAGGCATTTGGCACAACGCCTGACAATGTTAAGTGCCATCTGCTGTACTGAGGCTATCTATCAGTACAATCTTCAATTTATATTGCCTGGACTACGTAAGTCCACTAATTAACTTGCTGTGTGCTAGCTCTGGATGTATGTCTCCGCTGTACAGTAGTTAATATAATGCAGAGCAACCAAGATAAGGGCTTCTTTCTGGTTTAACCAGCTTCCA